TGTTCTGCAAAAGGTCGATCTAAGCAAAAATAATTTGTGACATCGTGAATCACGGAAATTGCAAGCTCCAGACTACCATATTGAACCCGAGTCAACGCTTTGTACGGCAACGACAGCAGTGCAGGTGACAAGGCATGACTGAATGTGTCCGCCTAGCAGACGAAATGTTTGCGGAGCAGCTGAGCCTGATGTCACTCTTTTCTGTGTAGAAGTGGTCAGCTGTGGCGTGATCTGGAGGTGACCCCGAGGTAGCACCACTGCTGGCGCTGCCAGCGCTAAAAAGACAAGATTGCCGGCCAATTTCAATAGTGCTAGATACGAGTGATATAAATAAATAAAAGTGATAGTTATTCATCCCTCAGTTGCGTTTTAGGTCGCAAATCGGTGCTACGGGGTCTATAGCTACTCGCTGAAGCAAAAATCTTGGCATGAGTAAATAGATATCGGTGCTCTTTTAACATCTGGCAGGGTCCACAGTTACTTCATAACAGAAAACAGGGCAGACAAACGGGACAAAAAAGACTGACAGGACTGGGTGCTGGCTAACAACACGAGCGTTTATTTCGTAAGTGTACAAATATACTTTTTTGAAAAACGGAAACTACAAAAAGGGAGAGGGGGAGGCTCAATGCTTGTGTATCAACTAGTCCGTGACGATGCAATGATCACGTGCGGAGATACTTAATTTCATTAGTGGTTAGTACAATGAGTGATGTGCTTACACATGATAGCCCTGGAATGAATTTCGAGTACTTTGTAGACTTTCCAGGTGCGTGAATTACGTTATCTGTGCGAGATGCCCAATTTCTTCCAGTTTTTGCCTTGAGGTTGTTATTGTGCTCTTACAGCCGGTTGTTGGTATAGCGACCTGTCTGCCCAGTGCAAAGGCTTCTGCAGAACGTTGGTCAGCCTTGTAGGTCACTTCAGCCTTGCAGGGCATAAACTGCCCTGCAAGGCTGAAGCCCTGTGTCGCATCTTGCTTCTTGTAAGCGGAAGGATTAGGGCGAGGGGCACTCACCATCTTGCACAATGAACCCAGCTTTGTTGGCCCCGGAATTACCACCCTTATGCTGGCACATGCCTTCTTGATCTTGTGCAAAACACCCTGTTGGTAGGGGATGGCCGCCACTCATGCCCTGTCTTCTACAGCACGAAGTCTAGTCGCCTTACAGTGCTCCTTCAGGGGGACTTCGGCCAACCCTGACAGGGATGATTCAGAAAAGCAAGCCTTATCCAATCTGCAGGCCAGATTAGTACGACTGGAAGCAATTATGTAGGCATGATCTAACTAGCACGTTCTTCATGACAGAAAGTGTGATAGTTTGCTTCAGTGACTTGGAATGCTGTGATGATAAATGGAAGTAGGTTTGTTTTTGAACAAGTTGAGTTCTTTCAGTAAGTGCACTCTGCACTGAAGGCTATCTTGATGTCTAGAGAGCGTGTTTGACCTCTGTCAGGTAGTTTTCCTTGTGAAAGTCTGGTAGTGTTCACATGACAGCATTATAAAACCTCGTCAACCTTCCTGCTACTTTCCATAGAGTTTGTGCGCTGAAAAAAAATTGACATACTGAGAGACCTTCTTCCAGCGCGGTCATGATTTTCACAGTTGTCTGTCATATCAGGCCAGAAGTGGTTGTTTAGAACCGGGGCAATGCATGACCCTATGCAAACAGTCTTTTTGCACATACAGACAATGTAGAAGAGGTACAAGGAAACGGTCCAAAAGCCTGCTAATGTTTGTACGTACAGCATTCTGGAAACGTGTGGTTCTGTGTCTTTCTATGCCCGCCTGTACTGACTCAGCTAGGGAGGCTTGGGGTGGAGAGTAATAGAAATCCTTGATATCGATCAGAAAAGCTTCCACACATGGATGACATGAACATTCCAGGAACCTTGATACTTCAGACTATTTGTGAATAAGCAACGGGTCACTGAGGCCTTTCTGCTAGTAAACACACAAGCACATCTGCCAACTGCTGACTTCCAACACTGTCACTCGAAAAGGGTAACCTTCTTTGTGCGTCTTCAATTTCGATAATTTGGCTACACAAGCACGAGGACAACGACGAGGATAAAGAAACTTTGTAGAATCGCGGTTTATCCATCGTAATCAATCTGCATTCAGTAGTAATTGTGGTCTCCTACCGTGTGCTTTTGGCAAGACATAGGTAAGGCGTATGCTTTCATCGAATGCCATTTGTGCACTGATGGTGCCACCGGTGTAGGTGGCGAAACGTCTGTTTGACTATAGTTATTTTTGAGTAAAGCCAGTGATCAAAAACATTTAGCGATTGACATGTGGCTGCAGTTATACATATAGGGCCAAGGGGGCGCTGCTTAAAAAAAAGAATATGGGAACACAAAAATGATATATAACAAAAGAAAATTGTCTCACCTAGTGTTGCACTGCAAAACCTGCTGCTGCCGGCCAGTTTCCAAAAAAGATGTGTGCAAAATTGTCTCGATGAAGGAATGCAGAAAATTTTATAGACATATTATATCAAGCAATCTTGAGACAATCGTCTCTCCACCATCAATCGGTTTACAAGGTAACAAATGTGGACTTTTCGGCCTATGCCAAGCCTAAGTTTACTGCAGGATTATCAGCTTGCTAATGTGACTCTCGTCTCGCGCAGTGTTTGACAAAACAAGTGTAGTAACTAGGTGCAACTTGTGTTTTCAGATGCTATGTATGCCAGACATATTATTTGTGTGTACGTATTTCATTGTTTTGTGGCCAATAAATTCTTTGTTATTAGTGTTTGTCATTAGATTGCTCACTCCATCCTCCCATAACTTTCTTTCACACTTGAGTGCTTCATGCTGCACATTTTCCATTATGTAATATACTTTCACCTTCTGTGATAGTAATACCGAGGGAAATAACATCCCAAGATGCTTCAATTCCAGAATATGAAAAAGTTATGCAGTCGAGCAGGTACTAATCTTCAGTTGACAATTGTAGTTGGATGAAAACTTCGATACAGATGCACTACAGCAAAAAGTACAGACGATATGAACCAGATTTTGTTGCTTGGCAAGTTGAGAAAAGGTGTGAACTCTTGCACATATACAGATTAAAAGCTTGTGGTTAAATTTTTTTTTTACTTAGCACATATGCTTTGTTCGCACCATTTTGTGCGTTACATATCCATGGTTTTTGTTTTTTCTTAGCCTATTCAATTATTTTTTTTGTGTGTGTAGGCAGCGAACAGTAGGCTCTTGCTGTTTCAGACAAATTGTACATCAAGGGGAAAATAATTTTCCGCTGGTAAACTTTCATTGATAACTTTAATAAATATGTCTTGTTTTTATTTCTTAATTGAATGGCAATCGTTTCTTCAGAGATTTAAATGATGTAGTAAGGTATAGAGCAATTTTGTCGTATTTTAAAAGAACATTGCTTTAAAACAAATCATTTCAAATGAATGAATTCTAAAGGCTAATAGAATTTATGGCATCTCTATTGATTTAAAAAATACTAATAATTACGTTGAACTTCATATTGCACTTGAATTGAGTATGCTGAAATTATTGAAACAATGAGGGTTTGTCGAGGAGATGTCTTGTCACTGGAAGGGACTGGCCAACTTTAGTGCATCAGCTGATCATCTCACTTTTGCATGTCATGTTTGGTTCTTATGTTTCTTTCATGCTCTGTATAACAAAAACACTATTTCCTCTTGTTTAGCATTGTTGAAATCGAGGGTTGTTGTTACATAATCTATTGAAAAAATGGTTCTGCATGAATGCGTACATCCGAAGAACAAGTGTTTTTTCGTTATCATCTCATGTCCATGTTCACCTGGTACTATTTTCTTATATTCCTTTAGAGCGTTCACTTTTCATTTCACTGCATTCAGCATGAAAGGGAGCAGTCCTTTTGGTTCTTTTTGATATGCAGTGCAACAGGCAGAAGAGTGCTTTGCACTCATTTTTACTTTACGAGAAACTGCCGACTAATATGATAGCTTCTTGCTTGGCTTAACCTAGGGCTAATTACTTAGCACGTTGCTACTATCACTGCCAGTGCACTTCAACTACTGCTTATTCATTGTGGGCTGTGTTTCCCTGCCGCAGTGGTCTAGTGGCTAAGGTACTCAGCTGCTGACCTGCAGGTCGCAGGATCGAATCCCGGCTGCAGCAGCTGCATTTTCGATGGAGACGAAATTGCTGTAGGCCCATGTGCTCAGATTTCGGTGCACATTAAAGAACCCCAGGTAGTCGAAATTTCTGGAGCCTTAGACTACAGCGTCTCTCATAATCATATGGTGGTTTTGGGACGTTAAATCCCACATCAATTGTGGGCTGTGTTGGCGTTGGCACAGTTAAAAATCAGTGTGGTAGTTGTTTGATTGCTTTTGTGGTGTGGGAGGGGGTCTGGGGTGAAGGTTGATATCAACAAGGGGGGCAGGGACTTAACCGATGTATGTAAATCCAAGCAGCTGCCTATTACTACATAAGCTGTGCAATTGGAAGTTCTGAAGATTTAGTTCATTACCGCCCAAAAGTTGTCTAAGGATTTGCGAACAGCATGGATGTTGACATACTAGGTGCCTTCTAGGTCCTTTCTAGGCACTTTGGTTTGTCGTCACTTTGCCATTCTACACTCTTCACTGTATTCAATGCATGTTCTTCTGTATTCTGTTCTGTCTATATAGAGTTGGCAGCATTCAGCTGCATGTTCCCTGCTGTTCTTTGTGACAGTTCATCATCAATGTCCTTATCATATAGCAGGTTTAGGCTCTGAACAATCTGTGTTGTTGACTTCTCTTGCTAAGATTCGATGCATTCTATAGCACCATTTATTACTGCCCCATAAAAATTGTTTGGAACTCGTAATGATGTCTTCGCTGTAGAAGAAAAGGCTTGGTGTGTTGAAATTTCTCTGAGAAATGTGCATTTGAGGCTCGGATTGTCCCAATGGTTTTGTTGTGCGTGTAATAGAATTATCTCTCTCTCTCTCTGTGCTATTTCATAATGAGATCTTCTCTTGGCAGGCATTCCAGATGACAGTGGTTTGCGGCCTCTCTGTTGGCGGGTAAGTAACGTGTTAGTTGGTTTTTGTACCTTGCCTAGGCTGCGTTCTTTCTATGCATTTATGAAATTGCTCTGGGGAAGTTTTGGGACCGACAGTCATGGAAATGTGTTTAATCTTAATCAAGTGTAAAAAAGAATCCGCAGCTGCTGAAAGGTCGTTTGCCGAATCAAAACTGTAGCACCATCGAAAACATTATTGTCAATGAAAAATTAGTTGAATGAGCCAGCAATACAACGTTATAGTGCAGGAAGGAAGCAGTTGCTTGGGCACCACTGTTACGTTTTTCTGGGCATTTACTCAATGTACACTGCTGTTTTTTGGGAAAGTAAACACTCAAATTACTTGGCTAGTGCATTGCAGGAGAGCACCAATAGACGGCAAGCGATTTCATAGAAATTCAGTAGATTGTTACATCACCATCAATCAACAGGAAAAGCATCCCCAGTAGGATAATACAGTGTTGCCACCTGTGGGGTCAAACGTGCATCTGCATCGGTCGTCTGCGCTTTATTCGTGGCTTGGCCTTTTCAAGACCAGTAGTTCCGGTTGGAGTCAACTGGGAGGTCAGTCGGCAAGCGTCTGTTCAAGGCACAGCTTTGTTCTTCCCCGAGAGCTCATACTTGGCATCTGCCCTACTTAAGGCGCCAACCTGATGCACACAATGAAGTGAAGCGACGTGCGAATGGAGAAATTGCATAAGTGGTTGCGAATTTCTCTAAGACAGCTTCTTCATTCACCGTAAAAAGGTGGGGCATTTAGCTTAATTCAGTGTCAAAAAATTTGAATTTTTCAGTTATTGGACATTATGCTGTCTCATATAAATAACATGTTAAGTTATAAATTAAGTCAATGTAATAGAAATATAGAGGGTATGCACTGAGCCTTGACCTGCAAGGCCGCAGTACATTTGTCGGTAACTCTTTGCCCTCCTGCTGAACAACACGGAGCATGCTTACGGTAATGTCCTTTCAACAAAATGTGGCTTGTCCCTTGTTTATCACTTCTCTTGTTTGCTGACTTCTCAGTGAGAAAAAATTGCATTGTGTGCAGAAAGAAGCACTGAGGGAAATAGAAATATTAACTAGAACGGAGAACTTAATTTTTTGTTATACTCTGTGTTGCAAAAATATTGAAAAGTGAATGTACATTCAGCACTTTTTTACAATCACAGCTGTTCACAACTAATAACGTAGTGCGTAAAAACTGTGAGACAAAGAACAAAGAGAAGCACTAACTTTCAACAAAATTTATTTTGAAGAGCGTACATATCTACATGTACTCACAAAATGCGAAGAAACAGTCAAAATAGTTTTAAAATATGTACGCTCTTCAAAGGAAATTTTGTTGGAAGTTAGCGCTCCTATTGGTCTTGTGTCTTTGTTTTTACGCGCTACGTTATTGGTTATGTATTACCAACACGCCCAAGCCCTGCCCGAGTGGTCTAGTGGCTAAGATACTCTGCTGCATTTCCGATGGAGGCAAAAATGCTCTAGGCCCGTGTGCTCAAATTTGGGTGCACATTACAGAACTTCAGGTGGTCAAAATCTTCAGAGCCCTCCACTACGGCGTCCCTCATAATCATATAGTGATTTTGAAACGTTAGACCCCACATATCAAATCAAATCAATTACCAACACAACCAACTTCATACTCTTGTGAGCTGGTTGATTGATTGATTGATATGTGGGGTCTAACATCCCAAAACCACCATATGATTATGAGAGATGCCGTAGTGGAGGGCTCCGGAAATTTTCACCACCTGGGGTTCTTTAACGTGCACCCAAATCTGAGCACACGGGCCTACAACATTTCCGCCTCCATCGAAAATGCAGCCGCCGCAGCCGGGATTCGGACCTGCGAGTCATCAGCCGAGTACCTTAGCCACTAGACCACCGGGGCGGGGCTCTTGTGAGCTGGTCACAGTCGACATAAAATCACAGTAGTTGGTGCACACAGCATTTATGCCTGCTTTCATCATATTGAGAGTAAGCAAGGGCTCAACTTCGCAATTTTTCACTTGGTACAGCATGAAGTATGCTCCCACAGATTTTTTCCACTCACCTGCATGTTGCGAGTTTTCCTAGTTTTCTGTTCTTATTTGTTTTCTAATCATGCTCTCCTCGTCATGGCTCTTGCTATGCAATTGCCGAGGAGAGACCTCATGCCTTTTCAGTCCTTTTGCAACTGAAAAAAAAAAAGAATATGCCAAACACTGCAAACTTTTTCTCGCTCAATTCGTAGAGCTTTTTTTTTTTTTGAATAAAATCGTGCCATTCTCTCAATTAAATGGCCTTCTTTTATTTGCGTAGAAATAACGCTGTAGTGTCTTCATCTTGTAGCATCACAATGAAGAGTGCTAAAAGCAGAGACAAATGTCCCAGCTTGTAAAAGTGTGTCCATCTAGCATCACGAAACACAAGTGTGGCTAGTATTATCCTTGTTGCTTTTGTGTGGGACCAGTTTTTGTTGGTGCCGAGCGTTATCTTCATCGGCCATTTTGTATGAAAATTTTATGAGAAGTGTACTGGTAGATAGTCGCTAAAGAGTTATATATTAATCATGTATGCTTCAACATCTATGCACGAGTATGTAGGCCGGCTGCGCCCTTGTAAATTTTTTTTTTTTTTCCCCTTTCCAGCTTCTGCTCGGGTTCTTGCCTGCAAGCCGCTCGGAATGGCCAGCCGTCCTGGCTAAGCAGAGGTTCGTGCTTACATCCGTTTGCCATTTTTTCAAACTCACTGTGCCTTTCAAGGTTTCTTCGTTTTGAAGCAATAGATTCAAGTAGTGGTTTGTACTTGGATGGTTTGATGAAGAAATAAGGCTCTACAGTGAAATTCTAGATTATGATTGTTATAGGAGATGTCTGTTAAACGAAAGCTAAAGGGACCAGGAAAATGTGTTTCGTTTAAGAGGAGCTTCGTTTACTGAGAGATGAACAGGCGTACAGAATTCAAGTACGAAACCAACTATGTTACAGGCAGTTGGTTTATTTAAGCAGCAATTTCGTTTAATAGGAGTCTACTGTATTTATTCAATACCTGCGATAACCAAATCCTGAAACAACAAAATGAATTTGTATCTGCTGTTTTGCACCCACAGAATTTGATACATCTCGTGTTTCTAAACAGCAGAGCGCCACTAAACTGCTATCCTGTATAAACGAAGTTTGCTGCAAGAGGATCATAACCTGCATTACAGCAAAAAAGTCCAGACATTGCTCAAATATTCCTGTTCACTTCAGTTTTATGGAATACATTGGAATACATCCATAGCCCACATGCATGATGCCTGCCTTTTTTTTATTAATACAAAAAAGAACCATAAGCGATTACAGAGTTGCCATGGTTTTTTTTTTTCGTTCATTTCAAACGTCATGGTCACATCGCTATCAACAGTACCGTCGTGCAACGATCAATTGCATGCTTACACTGTAGCTCGACGGGTTTCGAATTTGCCTTGTGGTGTGCACAGATGAGTTATTGACAGGGACCTTTTTATGGAACTCATGTACAGCATGGAGGGGCACTGTGTGCTAGACTTTAAGGTTAATAGGGGGGAAAAAATGTACCTATCATTTTGCTTTGAATTACCAATTTTTTACGCGAGTGATAGGTGTGCCTGTAGATTGAGTCTTGACAATTTACTGTGCCCCCTAATTATGAGACTTGTCTACTAATTATGCAAGCAAGTTTTTTTTGAACTTCTGCTTATGCCTTGGTATGATGGCTACCAGAGAATGTGGCGATTTATTTAACTTAGTGTAAGTAAAACTTTACTTGCATCAAAGTTGCTTGCACCAATGCACTAGCAGGAGGCCATAATACATGATGTTGAGAGACCTTAATGCTTCTTGATTATGTGGTACAGTGCAGTTTTAGTAATTTTATAAACTACTAATAGATCGAAGGGTGTCATTAATTTGAAATGATTTGTTTTAAAGCAATGTTCTTTTAAAATATGACAAAATTGCTCTATACCTTACTACAGCATTTAAATCTCTGAAGAATCCCACAGCACTGAGCAATTGGCAGAAAAAAAAACAATCAAGGTCAAAATTTCCTGCTGCTTGGCTACTGGTTCCAGCAGCACTGGTTTATTAATGCATTCCCAGTAGGTTATGGAACCAGCAGGTGATGGAACAAGCAGCTGATTGAGCCCGTAGCTGCTGGTTCCAGCGCAGTGTCGCAGGCAGTCGGCCAACTTGTAACTCGCTGACACGCAGCACACTTCCCAGCAACAAAGCTGGCAACAATTCAAATTGTAGCTGCATATTGTCAACTCAAATTTTATTGCAGCTGAACCAGCTGAAATTTGGCATGCTTCTAACTGGAAGTTAGTCTCTTTACAGCTGAACAATCGCCACATTCCATTTTCTTATTACTTTGAGTTAGAGTGGTACCAATGTGCAGATTAAGTTTTTTCCCCTCCAGGGCATGTAGTTCTAAAGGTGTTGCCTTTTCAAAAGTTTAAGTACACACTTATCACAAAAATGTTGATCCGAAGTAATAATTATATTTTATTAAAAAACTATTTTATTGAAAATCTAAATAGGTAATCTGCCAGCTTTGACTTGGGCTCGATGTATTGAATTATTCCGGACGGAAATCCACAGAAAACCTTAATCCACACCACAGATGTCTGTATTGTCGAGGGCAGCCCAGTGATTCAGGCAAACTATTACAAAATAAAAGATTTCAATGTCCATGCAGATATCGACTGCGGATATCAATCTAAAAAAAAAAGCGCTACTTAATATCCATTCACGGGAAGCAGTGCTCGGAAGGATGTACATATTAAGCAAATTAGCTTTTGCATCTCTACAGCACCATTAGTTCTCTCAGCAAATTAGAATTAAGCAGCGTGTTAATACTTCATTGCACATAAAACAAATGATTGATATGTGGGGTTTAACGTCCCAAAACCACCATATGATTATAAGAGACGCCGTAGTGGAGGGCTCCGGAAATTTCGACCACATGGGATTCTTTAACGTGCACCCAAATCTGAGCACACGGGCTTACAACATTTCCGCCTCCATCGGAAATGCAGCCGCCGTAGCCGGGATTCGAACCCGCGACCTGCGGGTCAGCAGCCGAGTACCTTAACCACTATACCACCGCGGCGGGGCTACACATAAAACAAACTTGTCTTACACCAACCGGCATGTATACACGCATTCATTAACATTGCAAACACCAATATACAACGACAGTGAGCTTAATGAAGCACAGGAACATTCGGGATATGCACAGTTTACTTATATTTGAAATAAATGATGCAACTTACTTGCATTGAAGATTGAGGGCTGGAAAATACGACAGGCCTCGATCTGCCCTCACGAAATCAAGACACCGTATAACGCAGCACCAAAAACAGCTCAAATAGGCTGATATTCACTTATGGCACTTTCGACCAATGAAACTGATCCAAAAATAAGCTATTACATGTTACTGTTACGTAAATTTCAGAGGGAACTTGCTGCTAACACCGAACACACAAATGGAAAAAAAAAAGTGGACAAGTCACGACAAGGGCACAACATAAGTTATACGAAACTACGGTGCTAAGGCATCATGATGATTTATGCATCATTTTGGACTATGTTGTTACCTGTAAATAAATAGTACAACTTTTCTATCGTGCACTATTTGTAATATTAGGTAGGTGACTATTCAGCATTAATTTGGAAAAACTTAGAATAGATACGAGACTAATACAACTGAGGAGTCAATGAAAATGGCGGCGAATTCAATGCTTGGCAATGCTGGGCACTGTACGAGAAGTAGCAATGCGGCGTTCTTTACGGCGGTGTTAGCTTCTCTAGCAGCGTTGTAGCAGGCAAGAGCAAGCTAGCAAAGTTCACTGTGGTCTGATCGTGGCAGAGGTTGATGAATGTTCTGCGGGAAATCAACCGCAGTGGCATTTCTTTGCTCAGTTTGACCAAACCCAAGTTGGGGGTTTAAATTGGGGAGATTTGTGTGGCATTGAAGTACTGTATCTAGTATCTTGCTTATTCGAGCTTTGGAAAGCTCGAATAAATGAAAGTTTTTTTTTCAGTGATGTATATATTTTGGACCTTAGCCACACAGAGCACTTGAGATCATGGTAAAATCTGCACCATGTACAACGTGTTGCAACCATTCTAAATTGTCTTCCATAACGACTGGCATTCACTTCAATAGTGCAGAAGAATAAAAGAATAAATAAAAACATGGATACATGATGGAAGGAGACAGGGCTGTCCTGCCTGTATTTTTCGTGCTACAGAAATCGATTATAATGACAGCTGCGACACTCAAGTAGCTCACTCTATCACCTTGATGGACTTAATTATGAATGCATGCAATGCTATATTGTCACTGGTGGATTCACTGCTAGAACTAGGTTAAGCTGACTAAAAACCAGCACGTTACGTGCTCGTTGCAGCAGCATCCCAGGAGAAAACCATTAACCTGCACAGAATACCAGTAAGCGCTCTCCTGGGACCAGCACGGTCAATGGGTTGCCTGCTGGGGTCATCATAAAACAATTAAGTACCCTGCTGGAACCAGCTGAAAACAAGCAAGAACACTGCTGGAACCTGTACAACCAGCAGGAAACTAGCAGGTTAGTTGCTGGTTCCACCAGAAACCAGCAGAAAGTCGGCAGGAAATTTTTTCCTGGGAAGGGAAGACAGTAGACGCCATGAAACTAGGAGCGTGGTAACAATGGTGCTCCATTTGTTGTCCGCACTATAGATTAGCACTTACCTTTCAGGTCGTTACCAATTTGTGCACTAAAGTTCGACATAATTCTAGCGCGGTTGAGGGGGGGACGCGGCTTTGATATCGCAAGAAATGGCAAAAAATAGTTTTTTTAAAAATCAAGATTTCAGTTTCTGGAACATTTTTTTTATCCAATTCCAAAATTTGTACACTGAAAACCACACAGAAGTGCTTCGGAAAATTCGTATCACCTTCCTAGGTAGTGAAACTTTTTCTGGAAATCGCGAGAAAACGGCGATTTTCGCAAAATTATAGCTTTGCGATGGCGCTGCCGGAGCCGGCTTTTTGGGCTCATCGGAAAAAGCATTTCTCCGTGTTTAAATTTTCCGCCTGAGCTGGCTCCTCTCTTTGAAGACAAGCGAACAAAAAGCAAATGTTCGTAGGTTGTTTCGAGGTCCTTAATTGGCTGTGGCCGCTATGTTACCTCAGCTCGCCTTGCCATTCGCCCGATGCTCGCTCCGACAGATCGTCATCTGCTGCTTGTGCGTCGCGAAGACATGGCTCTTGAAAATCACTGCTTCGTGACATGTTCACAGCTTGTCGACCACTTATAATATAATTACGCTTTAGTTAGGAGCTGTAACCGGATGCACTATCAGATTACTACGAGCTGGCGCGCAGTGTACGAGCGCGGCGTGTCATCGGAGTCATCTTTAGCCCTAACTCCGCTGACGCCGATACTGTGGACAAGAACGACGTGCTAGCATACTCGTAGTGACATGCTTCTTCCCAAGCAACGAAGCTGTAAGGAGAAGCACAATCGGATTACTATGAGTGGGCGCACCGGATGCACGATCAGATTACTACGAGCGCGGCGCATCATTAGTTGTCTTTAGGCCTAACTTCGCTGACGGCGAGACGAACTTTGGGGACAAGAATGCTGCGCTAGCGCACTCGTGGCAACGTGCTTCTTCGTAAGCAACGAAGCACATCACTCGCTAGCTCCTTGGAACCGCAGACTGGCATTTTACGCATCAGCAGCAGACCCCACTGTCGAGCTCGTCAACCCCCCCCCCCCCCCCCCCCCGCCCCTTCACTGCCAAGATCGCTCGGAACAGCGGCTAGCAGTTTTGCGTGTCTGCATTAAAAATGCGATAACAAGCACAGTGCGCGCCAGTTTTTTTTGTCATCGCAGGTACACATTTCGTACATCGTCACCAAATGCCGCCGGCAAGTGCATCACGCGCCGGCTGCGCTGTCCACGCGACCGCGCACTTCACGGTCATATGGAGGACTGTGAATAAGCTTTTTTGATGCAATTTAGACATGCTTGGAGCCTTGCTTGGTATCGCGGTGAGCGTATATGAATGTTCTGAGACAGTAAAAGCCTCGTACATTTGCGTTTCTGCGATCGGCCGTATGATGATGCATTTCACGGCTAGAGTGGCAAAAGAGCATATATGAAGCAGGGGCACGAGTTTTCAAATGCACGACTCGTGTAATTAAATAAACTTCTAAAAAATTTCAGTGCCATCAGTTTTCTGCTCATAACTGTTAGTCATTTGGAAAGAAGGCATAGGCTGGCATGGTGTCAGCCATTTTTCGTATGCAATAAACCTGTCTCTATAAAAAAATTTTCAGTGATTATTTGTAATCAAACAGCACCTGATTATGCTAATGACAGCTTAAACACAAAAAAATGTCTAATCACTTCAGTATATGGCCATATTCAATTACTATCTATTCTGTCATGCCTACTATCACACCACTCCATCACTCCATACAGAGTACTTAGTTTGAAATCCATTCTTGTTCTTAGCAGATAAAAAAAAGGTTATGAAAATATAGGCAACAAAGGCACACTGGTTAGAGGCCAGATGCCTGAGAAGTCAAATATCTCAAGACAAACCTTAGAACGCTATCTTTAGGTCTTCTGGAGACGTGAAGAAAAGGTGCAACTTCTAACGCAGTTTTCTCAATACTGTTTTTTGGTGTTACGCTCAGCTCATGGAGCAGATATCTCGGCAACCACTGCACAGATTTCGATTCCGTTTGTTTTGTAACGCTCCTTGAACTGTGCTTCAGGGGGCTGCGATCTTAGTTTTTCATTTTACTCACTATAGAATTTTTCATAGGGTTTCTTGTTCGTAGTGTAAGTGTGCTGATTGCAGTGTCGCTGGAGAAAATAACTATAAAATTTTGTGTTGTAAAAAAATTATTTTGAAAATGCAGCCTCCTTCAGCATAGATTTGGCTATGCATTCAGTAATTACTATTTTTGCCATTTTATAAATCTGCCAGCCCCTCCACGAGGTTTGTATGATCGCCTCGAAATTTGTGTGGAAGCACTGGGAGGCCATTTTTAGAGTCTGTGCTAATTTTCATCATCTAACCAGAAACAAAAAAGTTTGTTTCGAAATGCACATGTCCCCTTAAGGTCCTTTACGGCATGCCACAGGGATCTGTTCTTGCCTCGCTTTTGTTCCTCTTATTCAGAGATGACATTGTTGAAATGGTAAACATTAAAATTTGATTATTTACAGATGACTGCATGATGTACAGTGAAATCAGTCGTTGGCAATCAGGTTTCCTTCAACAATTCTATAAACAATATAGCCCAGAGGTACTGAGACTGGCAGATAGTTATTAATTGCCAAAAGAACAGTTGTGATGAACATAGACAGAGAGAAAAGCATACTGTTATTTCTATACTCCCTGAACGGTGTAACTCTTCAGACAGCGAATCAGTATAAATACTTAGGTCTTTTAATATCATCTGATCTCAAGTGGACTGCGCATGTAAGAGTTTTTTCTAAAACAGACGCGATGTTACACTACTACAGATACTAAGCGCTCATTTTGCATTACTTTTATAAGATCCATACTGGAATATGCGAATATAGTGTGGTGTCATTCAACAAACACTGACATAGCTATGCTCGAGAACAAACAGCGCAAGGAGGTAAGATTCATCTTCAACTGCTATAAGCGAACTGATTCCCCTTCCAAACTTCTGCACCGAGCAGAGCTATTTTCGCTCTGTGACGGAGCAAAAACTTATCAGTTGAAGTTCTTCTACCAATTGTTGAATGGCCACTTTAAAACTACAGTCGAACCTCGATATATCGAACAGCGCGGCGATCGTGAAATAGTTCGATATATCCAGAATTCGATATAATAAAATCACCAAAAAATTGCGTCAACAGCTTGCTGAAAACAACCAACGAACCGTTCAAGCGTGGTGCAGTAAATACTCACTTGAAGATTCAAACATAGTATTTATTGTGTTGGTTTAAAATATTGAAAAAGAGTAGCCTGCTTTTTGTTGGCCATGGCATGTTTGACGACTGCATCCTCAATATAGTCCAGGCGATCCATAAGTGATAGGCCGGCGCCTTCAATCGCGGCGCAGTGGCGGCGCACAAGGGCCAAGGCAGCTACGACCTCAGCTGATGTCGGGAGCGGGGCACCATCAGCGCTTGCGGGATCCACCTCGGCAGAGTCTTCATTTGGCTGCTCAGTAGTAGCTTCGGCGACAATCTCCACATCCATGAGCTCCGCCGTTCTGAGTCAGGCCTGTCGCGCACCATAGCGCGCGACAGGCCTCACTCCGAACGCACGAACACTGCGAGCACAACGACCGATGCCTGCCGATGCTATGAGGGAGGAGCTTGCAACAAGTGCCCAGTGTGCCGTTGACACCATAGAGACTGCAACGACTGCAAGCTGCAAGGCTGCGGCGTGAGTCCGGGTGTAAAGTGCTCACATGGCGCGCCCATGCCGGCTCGCCTGACTGCTTTCCCTTTCCCGGCGGTAGCGCGGGCCGCGTCAGAGACAGTCGTCTGCGTCCTTTCCCTCCTATACTTTCCTCCTCAATCTTTACCTCCCACTCCCCCTTCCCCCACGCGAAGCCGTGTCGGTGCCTTCGTATTGAAAGACAATAACAGCTCCGCGCTTTTCTCTTCACTTTCCTCATTCAAGAACCTCTACCGCAAGGCTGCGGCGCACGTACGCCGCTACGTTAAAGTGGCCACCATCGATGTGTGCAGCATTCGTAAACGCCCGGCGCTCTACCGCTACTTTCGAGAGTTGCGGGAAAGCTCGCCACCTGTCAATGGAGCGCGGGCGGTTTGGGGTGGCTGAGTTCGATGTATCCATTATATGTCAAACTTTGTTCGAAATAAAAAATCAATAATGCATGCAATTTCCCGCGTGATATAGGAACCGTTTGATATAAGCAATAATTCGATATATCCGTGTTCGATATATTGAGGTTTGACTGTAATGCTTAGCCTTGGCTGTTCTAAAAATAAAAATGGATAGTACTCTAAAAATGCAATCTTATGTTCAAAGAATACTGTGCAATAACAATATCTTCCAATTTTCATTTTTTTTTCTTGTGATAAGAAAATGGTATGCACTTGATTCAACTACTGTAGTCCAGCCAACACTTAAGTATTGAAAATCTCATGTCCATGCTTCTAAGTTCTATCTGCTAAACTATTTGCGTATGCATTTAACATTTTCTATCTTCTTGAATCTTTTCGTTTTGTAGGCAATGTATTGCTCTGCTTGTATGTCATATACATTGGTCATTCCCATCATCACAGCATTCGCACGTGATGATGTCGCTACTCTTACGTGTGTTTTAATCTTGTATACCCTTCATGTATTGCCATTGCATTACCTTGCTTTTACAATGTTTTTTTTACCACTTTTTTATTAACCCTCATGGAGGGTGGACAATATTCTGTAAATAAATAGCATGCCTCATGAGGTTTTTTCTTGAAACCTTTCCTTGTAGACTGAGGATCTTGTCAAGATTCGTCGCTTCAAGTCTCAGTCCTTCTTTTCTTCGATGGCGTGTGGGTACTTTGAACACTGCCCCATAGTTCGCAATTCCGTACTGTGGTGCCCATCTTCGAAAAGCCTCGCAAGTTTATTCACATTGTAAACAGACCTTTTAAGAGCTTTGCCTTGCCATGGTGGTCTAGTGACTAAGGTACTCGGCTGCTGAACCACAGGTCATGGGATCGAATCCTGGCTGTGGCGGCTGCATTTTTTGATGGAGGCGAAATTGCTGTAGGCCCGTGTGCTCAGATTTTGGTGCACGTTAAAGAACCCCAGGTGGCCAAAATTTTCCGGAGCTCTCCACTACGGCGTCTCATAATCATTTGGTGGTTTTGGGAAGTTAAAACCCCACACATTATCATCATCCTTTTAAGACCTTTTAAATGGTCTTGCAGCTTCATTATAAATGGGATAGCCAAAACTTTCTTGAGCACATAAACTTTATGCTTAAGAAAAAACGAATGACGCTTGTGGCAAAATGTCATGTTAGAGTTTTGTTTTAGCACAGTTATTGTTGGAGATGCTGGTGCTCGTCTGTGGGCTACTGTGGATGTTGGCCTCTTGTTGGTCTTTTGTGTACCCAGCCACAGCTGCGAGTTGTGCGAACGCACTCATTTTGCCTTTCGCAGGAGCCTGTACGAACAGTTTGTGGATGACATGATTGTGTCCAATCAAGAAGGTGGTGCCAGTCCCACCGAGCCGGATGACCATGTGAGCTTGTGTCCCGCATCTACTTGACTTAAAGCTTTGTTTTGCTGATTTGCTGATACGATTTTTGTTTTGCTGTATTTGGAGAGGAAGAGGAGTATGGAGATGGGGGCATACTGGTGTGGAGGGTCATGTGAGCGTTCGAATAGAGAGAACCTGTAGAACAGGATGCCAACTAGTTGTTGCATCCCCAACGTAAAGGCTGCCCATTCAACTGGGTTACAGCAGAAAGGATTGGCCGGAAGTGGTTCTGCGTGTTACGCGGGCACTGTGGGTTTGGTGCATTGTGTAAAAATCGAGACTACTACTTGTGGAGTGGACTGGAATTGGTGGACATTCGTGCAGCATATCGAAGCTACTTTTGTCGACATGCAAAAGCAGCTCCAAGTGCTTAGCTTTGTTAAAAACTGGTCAAGACAAGAACCAGTAAGGAGCTTCATTTGCTCCAACAACCATCTGTAATAGCAGCTGCAGATGATGACCCCCTTTTTTTTGACAGTGTGAAGTACCTGCTCTAGCCAGAGTGCTCTGGTCTCATTGCTCACTTGGTGTTGAACTGATAGTTTGGACGAAAATCACTTTGGCTTTGGACGAAAATCACTTTGGCTTCCAGAGTGGCTGTATTCTTCCACTCTAGTGTTTTGTAGAATTAAGCCAGATGAAATTTTATATCAGTTAACTGCTAGCCTTACTCTGTATTTAACATTCCAGTTTATTGCTATCACATTCATTTCATTGCCTTTACTGTGAAACTGACTCTTTTTTAAGCTGCATGACAGTCAATTCTCCCGGATTTTCCGTAAATGTACACATTTCTACCCTGCTTAGTTTTACAAGTGTTACTTGAAATTTTATGGAACATATATATATTGTAAGATGGCGTCCAGTACCCTCAAGACTCTTCTTTATTGTCTCGAGTATGTGCCCCACAACCTAAGCTTGACTAGTGATGATGAGTATGTACAGATGAAAAGATGGGACGCATAAACAATGCTCACACTTATTTTCCCCGCGCACTTGAGCGGCCGGCCCGGCAGAGACTTAGGCGGGAAATGTACGGCGAACAAAGGGCTTAAGACGTGAAACGTGGACTATCTCGGAGGCACGGTAACGACGGTCCGAGGAACCCTTGACGGGAGTGACAAGGTAATTGACAGGAGATGTCCGTTCATAAATAACGCAAGGTCCAAGAAAGCGTGACTGAAACTTTTCACACAATCCTGGAATGCGAACAGGCGCCCAAAGTAATACTTCATCTCCAGGACGGAAAGTGACGTATCGACGAAAGCTGTCATAGCGTTGCTTACGGTCTTGTTGACTGGCCTCCGTGTTGAGTTGAGCATGTTGCCGTGCCTCAGAGAGCCTGGAAACGAATTGTTCTGGCGTAGTCGTGGACGTTTTTGTCGTTACATTGAAGAAAGAGGCGTCAATGATGAATGTTGGCGCACGACCATAGACGAGGAAGAAAGGTGAATACCCGGTGGTTCGTTGAACAGCGGTGTTGTGTGCAAATGTTACGAACAGCAAGATTTTGTCTCAGTTATCGTGGTTCGGTCCGATGTACATGGATATCATGTCGATTACAGTCCGGTGGAATCACTCTGTCAGGCCATTTGTCTGCGGGTGGTAAGTGGATGTGGTCATGAACTGTGCCACAAGTTTTTAGGATTTCATCGAGAATTGTGGACAGGAAGGCCTTGCCTCGGTCACTCAACAACGCGCGAGGTGCACCATAACACAACACAATGGCTTCTAAAAAGAAGGCGGCAACGTCTGATGCAGAGCTAGTGCGTAGAAGAGCAGTCTCCGCATATCGTGTGAGGTGGTCGACAGCTGTGACGATCCAGCGGTGGCCCGCTGGCGTTACGGGAAGTGGCCCGACGAGGTCTATTCCGACGACAAAAGGTGTATCGGGACATGGAATGGGTTGTAATAGGCCAGCAGGAGCTGAAGTTGGTCGTTTCCGGCGTTGACAAAGTGTGCAAGAAGCGACATAATTGGCCACAAAGGTAGAAAGACCAGGCCAGAAGAAACTGCTCCTAATGCGGTTGTAGGTCTTTTGGAATCCTAAGTGTCCAGCTGATGGGTCGTCGTGCAATGCTTCGAGAACTTGTTTTCGCAGCGAACGGGGAAGTACTGGCACCCACCGATGCCCATCGGCATTTTAGGTATAGCGCTGCAGGACGTTGTTCTCTAGCTTGAACTTCCGTAGCTGACGACGAAGTCTGGCATTAGGTGGAGAAGACGAGCCATTTAAGTATCCGATATTGCGGTTACAGTAGGGGTCGTCACGTTGGCACGCGGCAAACTGGGCGCTGCTGTTTAAAGATAGTGCAGCAACTGCCAGGGGTGGTAACGTAGGTGAAGAGGAAGCCGCTTGATCACCTGAGGGGCATTGAGGATACGTAGTTGGAGATGAAAGTGGCAGAGGGCAGCGAGAGAGAGCGTTAGCATCCTGATGCTGTTTGCCAGACCTGTACGTAACGTCAAAAGTGTACTCTTGCAAACGTTGTATCCAGCGACCGAGGCGCCCAGACAAATTCTTCAGCGAGGACAACCAGCATAGAGCATGGTGGTCAGTGATCACAGTGAAGTGACGTCCGTACAGATAAGGTCAAAATTTTTGGATGGCCCAAACGACAGCGACATATTCCTGCTCTGTTATCGAGTAGTTCTGCTCCGCAGGTGTTAGTGCGCGGCTGACATACGCAACTACTCGCTCACGGCCCCGCCGCGGTGGTCTAGTGGCTAAGGCACTCGGCTGCTGACCCGCAGGTCGCGGGTTCAAATCCCGGCTGCGGCGGCTGCATTCCCGATGGAGGCGGAAATGTTGTAGGCCCGTGTACTCAGATTTGGGTGCACGTTAAAGAACCCCAGGTGGTCAAAATTTCCGGAGCCCTTCACTACAGCGTCTCTCATAATCATATGGTGGTTTTGGGACGTTAAACCCCACAAATCTAATCAACTACTCGCTCACGTGATGTTTCATCGCGCTGGAGGAGGACAGCACCGATTCCGTGGCCACTGGCATCTTTGTGCAGAAAAGTGGGTGCACTCTCATCGAAGTGACGGAGGACGGGGTCTGATGTCAGAGCACGCTTAAGGGCTTGGAAAGTCCCCGCCGCAGTGGTCTAGTGGCTAAGGTACTCGGCTGCTGACCCGCAGGTCGCGGGTTCGGATCCCGGCTGCGGCGGCTGCATTTCCGATGGAGGCGGAAATGTTGAAGGCCCGTGTGCTCAGATTTGGGTGCACGTTAAAGAACCCCAGGTGGTCGAAATTTCCGGAGCCCTCCACTACGGCGTCTCTCATAATCATATGGTGGTTTTGGGACATTAAACCCCACATATCAATCAGGGCTTGGAAAGCACACTCACACTCGTCAGTCCATGTGAAAGCCGTTCCTGACGTCAGAAACTTGTGTAACAGCTTTGCAATGGCAGCAAAGTGACGGATGAAGCGGCGGAAGTAAGACGTCAGGCCAACGAAACTTCGCAATTGTTTTTGATTGCCCGGACGTGGAAAACTAATTACGGCAGCAACCTTGTCGGGGTCGGGTCGAACGCCATCTTTGCTGACAAGGTGACCCAATACTTTGATGCTTGTGCTGGCGAAGTGGCACTTCTTTGTATTGAGCTGTAGACCAGCTTTCGAAATGCACGTTAGAACTTCGTCCAAATGCTTAAGGTGCTGAAGAAAAGTAGAAGAATAAATTACGATGTCGTCTAAGTAACATAAACAGGTTTTCCATTTGAGACCACGTAAGACGGTATCTATCATGCGCTCGAATGTTGCTGGAGCGTTGCATAAGCCAAAAGGCATGACCTTAAATTCGTAAATCCCATCAGGCGTCGCAAATGCTGTTTTCTCCTTGTCTGCTTCGCGCATAGGTATTTGCCAATACCCGGATCGGAGGTCGAGGCTGGAGAAATATTCTGCGCCTTGTAGGGAGTCCAGGGCATCATCTATGCGTGGCAACGGATATACGTCTTTTTTCGTAATGTTATTGAGCGCTCTGTAATCAACACAAAAGCGGACAGAGCCATCCTTTTTCCGGACCAACACCACAGGAGACGACCAAGAGCTGGATGAAGGTCGAATAATATCCCGTTTGAGCATGTCGGTGACGTTTTCCTCAATGATTTGCCGTTCCGCCTAAGACAGACGATATGGGCGGCGGTGTACAATGGAGCTGCCTTCGGTTTCGATGCTGTGCTCTGCAACGGAGGTGCGGCCCAGAACTTTGGAATGTACGTCAAACAAAAGGCTGTGCTTTTCGAGAAGGTCTAAGAGGTCTCTCTTTTGCTCGGCAGTGAGGTAAGTACTTATGGTGTCATTTAAAGCAATAGTGGTAGCCTTCATATCAGTTGTAGCAGACAAAGGCGTTGATTCTGCGTGAAGGGGAACCAGCGAGAAAGGCTCGCTGTCAGTGAAGCAGCTCACAGCAGTGCCTTGGGGCAGCATCACTGGCAATGAAGTTGGGTTCAAGGTGGGGACCAATGCTTTATTGTCGTTAAAAGCGCACATGGCCGGGTGCTATGGTAAGCCCCGCAGGTTTGGAGCGATCTTGTGGGGCTATGAACACGTCACCGTTAACTATAGTATCCGAAGTGATCGTGAGAATTTGTTCATCTCCTGGCGAAATGAAACAATCAGCGGCAGCAACGAAACCGAAGCTGTATGGATCGACATCGGATGAACTCTCAGTAGCTGACATTTCAATTAATCGCTGACGACACCATATGAAAGCCGATGCCGAAGAAAGGAAGTCCCATTCTAAAATGACTGTGTGAGTGCACAAAGGAAGTACAAGAAACTGAATGTGGTGAAGGATGCCATTTATGAAAATGCGGACTGTGCAAACACTTGAAGGCTGAATAGGGACTTCATCTGCACAACGAAGGGGAGGGCCATCGTATGGCGTCCTAACTTTTTTCAAGCACGCACAAAAGTCTGCACGATTTACGGAAAGTGATGCGCCTGTGTCAACCAGTGCCTCTGTCTGT